GAATTTGCAGAAGGCCTTTTTTTATTACAATTGTGAACTTTCTTAACTACCCGACTGTTTAACAGTCCTTTCAGATTGTAGATCTTTAATCTTTATGAGGCTCTATTAATTCTGTATTACAATGAATGACAAAGACTAACGTTTCCACACCTCATTGAGAAACACTCACACGAAGATACTAAGTTGTGAAAAACTGTAGAGCTAATATTTGAGATTTGCTCAAGAAAAGAGCCAACTTTGCACAGTTTTTCAAAAGCACGTTTCGCTTAAGTTTTAATCCCATTGTGTTCGTTCATAAATGAATTGGTAATATTTGGTTTGTGTCTAGAGAAAATAGAAAGTCATAAAAAGAATTTTTTGTTTGGCTAAGTTGGTTTGTGCTGATCCACTGTGTCAATGAACCTTTTAAAATGGATATTCCCTTTTTGCGTTCTTGATTCAGCACGATATATATATATATATATATATATATATATATATATATATATATATATATATATATTTTTTTTTGTTCTTGATTCAGCACGATATATATATATATATATATATATATATATATATATATATATATATATATATATATTTTTTGCGTTCTTGATTCAGCACGATATATATATATATATATATATATATATATATATATATATATATATATGGTAGGGCGATGAAAGAAATTGAACTGATAAAGAAACGGTGATAATAATGGAAATAAAATAATAATATTATGCCATTAGACAAAATAGAAGTATGATGAGAAAAGATGTTACAAAACTGGAATTTTCGGACACGCCTGTGTCCTTTGATGAGAAATGGAATGAGGCTGATCTTTTTGAAAGTGACATAGAGATTTCTAAGAAAGGCAGGACAAAAGGTTTGCTTCACGAGCAAAATAGCACAGTAGCAAATGATTTGAGAACTCACAACGGCTGATAATCAAACTGATCAATGGTACACACACACAACACACACACACGCACATATATATATAGTTAGTCTCCAAGCGTAGCTTGGATATAGTACAAGGCCGAAATTATCAGGCCCCCAGTCAGGATCGAACTCAGCGAGACAAGCTTGCTAACTGTTACACCACCTTGTGGTTCCCTATCTATCTATCTATCTCTCTCTCTCTCTCTCTCTCTCTCTATCTATATATATATATATATATATATATATATATATATATATATATATATATATAGTTTTAAGGTACTTTATTCATGGGATAAGTGCTATATTAAGGATAAAGTGCTCAAGTGCTATATCTATGGAATAAAGTGCTCAATATCAGAGATAGAGCGTATGTAAATATAACTATAAAAGTGAATATTGAAGTCAACACTCAGAGGTAACTGGCTGTTTCTTGCTAGGCGCAATCGTCAGGCCGTCTGAGTTTTGACTTCAATATTCACGGTTGAGCTTTTTATTTAATTTTTCTTGTGTTCTGACAAGAGCTTTCTTTTCTGGACAAAGGGTGTGTAAGAACTGTCCGAATGTTTTGTATTTCCGAGCGCTTTCGGCTATACCTTTAGCCATTATCAAGGATGATTCGATTATCAGCTTAGTAGAGTGTGTGCATTCTGTGTATGTTCAGTGTGTGGTAGTGATATTTTTAATTTCCGAATACGGTTAGCACATTATTGTAGTGTATGTGTGCTTATTTCCTGAAGATGGTTGTGGGAAGAAATGGTAAAATATATGTGTATGTGTTTGTAAAATTTCAGTGCTGGTGTTGATTCGATGTACGTCATTAATTTCGGAGTACATTTTATTGTTGAGAAAGAAATCGTGTGCATCGGGTAATTTCTGGTATGAACTGAGAATGGGTATATGGGTGTATGTTTTGGTTCAATTCTATTATTATTATTATTTATAACTTCTAAGTGTATTGGGATATATTTAGTGTGTTCGGGAGAGCGTGTCATGTGATGAGCAAGACGGATTCATGGAAATGGACGCATAAAAAACTTAGGTTACATCGCCAGCAAGTGTCTGGAATTTACATTCTTTAAGTATTGGCTTTATGAATGTTTGGAATATGATAAAGTGTGTTTCACGTTTGTTTATCGATAGAAGATTATTAATTAATATTTCTTGTAAATATTTTCTTCGTCATAGGATATGTTCTATTTTTTATTTGTGCGGCATTTTTTTTTTAATCGAACTTATGGTCTGTTTTATTTATATGTGTTACTAAAGAATTTAGAGTTTTAAACCACATATGTATGCATGTATGTGAGAACGTTTGCTTTCTGACCATGAAACCCAGGTTCGAATCTCACCACGGTTGATTTGTCAGGAAGGAGACATCCGGATTATCGGTCGGCTCATAGTAAATATCTATGAATAAATAGAATAATGCTTCAGAAGCAGGTCAATCAGGTCATTATTTTGGGTAGTGTGTTTGAATTTCCCTCCATAAGATTTCTATGAATGTCCCTCGTTAAGCTTTGTTTGTATGTCCCTCAATAAGCTTTGAATGAATGTTCTATGATAAGCGTTGTTTCTGTGTTCCTCAATAAGCTTCGTTTGAATGTTCCACGATAAGATTTGTTTGAATTTTCTACGATAAGTATTGTTTGAGTATGCTTCGATAAGCTGTTTGAGTGTCCCTTGGTACACTTTGTTTGAATGTCTCTCGATAAGCTTTGTTTGAATGTCTCTCTATAAGCTTTGTTTGAATGTTCCAAGATAAGCCTTGTTTGAATATCCTTCTATGAATGTTCCTCAATAAGCTTTTTTTGAATGTCCCTCAATGAGCTTTATTTGCATGCCCCTCGACACGCTTTGCTTGACTATTCCGGGATGAGCTTTGTTTCAATGATTTTGGTTAAGCTTTTATTTGAATATTCCCCGATAAGCTTTGTAAGAATGTCCCCCGATAAGCTTTTTTTGAATGTCAGTCAATAAGCTATGTTTGAATGTTCCACAATAAGCTTTGTATGAATGTCCCTCAATAAGCTTTATTTGCTTATCCACCGATAAGCTGTTTGAATGTCTCTTGATACACTGTGTTTGAATGTCCCTCGATAAGCTTTGTATGTTCAAATGTTACACGATAATCTTTGAATGTCGATCGATAAGCTTTGTTTGAATGTACATGATATCCTTTGTTTGAATGCTTCTCGATAACATTTGTTTGAACCCCTTGATAAGCTTTGTTTGAGTATCCTTCGATAACCTTTTTAAGTGTACCCCAATAAACTTTGAATGTACCTCAATAAGTTTTGTATGATTGTCCCTCGATAAGCCTTTATTTGAATATTCCACAATAAGCTTTGTTTGAATGTCTCTCGATAATTTTTGTTTGAATGTACGTCTATAATCTTTGCTTGAATGTCCCGCGATATGCTTTAGTTGAATGTTCCACGATAATCTTTGTTTGAAATATCTTTCGATAATATTTGTTTGAGTGTTCCTCGACACGCTTTGTTTGAGGGCTCTTTGATAAGATTTGTTGAATGTTACTTGATAAGCTTTGTAGGGATGTACCTCGATAAGCTTTTTTTGAACGTCTCTCGATAAGCTTTGTTTGATTAGCCTTCGATTCTAACGTAATAACCCTGCTTGTTGCAGCTCTGTCCTGTCTCCACGGTGGTTCTGGCCGAAAAAGAAATCCACCCGATCTTCCTCCGGTGAACTGAAGGAACCACCACTATTCGCCACGTTGTGAATTCTTGATCCGAACAGCAGTGTATCGATCTCCCCAGAACGATCCGGTGGGAAGTGGAGGAAATGGCTGGGTATTTCGCTGAAAGGAAATCACTATTCATGCAGCAAAAGTTTCTTGTCGTAGACGCAAACACATGAAAAAGGAAAAAATTAAGCAACTCCTGTTCCTGTACAAAGAGTCCTATTTAGGCCACTGTTTTTTTATGTCTCTACCGAAGAATTTACACGAGTACAAAATGTCGTAACAAGATTCACTCGTTTGGGTCGGAAAGACACAGAGAGGGAGTAGGAAAATTTCTGCCTAAACAATTTCGGCTGATCTAAGGGAAGTAATTCGAGGATCTTCGTCTGCACCCTACGATATAGCAGTCTGCTTTCTCGCAGCCTTGTTGACGAAGCTATCTGGATTCGTACGGGTTCTATTTAGATCTCTTGGTTCGGATCGGTCTTCTTGACACAGGGCAACCAACAGACCAGACCAGCAAATTCCAACATGCCGCCTCTTCCGCGTTCTGATCTCCGAACTCCGAACTCATCTGACTAACTCAAGTGTGCGAGCAGCTTATATATAGAGAGGCGGAGCTAAACCATCTTTAGGCACCGTCCCCGAATTTTAATATACAAATCGCCTGGACCACCATGTGTTTCCGCCTAATCCCCGGATCTCCGCGGGCAACCAGTTTTCAAGAGGTACTAAAATCGGATTCGGACCTCCTGCTGGATCTTCTGCAGACAACGTATACTTAAATTTTGCCAAAACCACTTATCCCGTCTGGTTGAATTCCGCTATACAGACCACCCAATTTGCCATTTATCACAAACTTTACATTAACGAATCCGTCTCTTAATCACTTTGGAATTATTAAATGTAATTAACTAATAACTCAACCCCATAAATAATTATTAAGAGAAAAAAAAAACAAGAGAACAAAAATAAACTTATTTCTGGAATTGCTCTGGAATCCATTCTACCCAAGTAATTAGCACCTTCATCCTAATTCTTTAGCACTGTTGATTACTAAATCCATCTCTCTCTATGTCACAGGATTAGCTTCTTGGTTGTTCCTCTATATACTTTCTTTGAATGTCCCTTGATAAGCTTTGTATGAATATCCCTCAATAAGCTTTGTTTGACTGTTCCACAACAAGCTTTGTTTGACTGTTCCACAACAAGCTTTGTTTGGATGTCCCCGATAAGCCTTGTTTGAATTTCGCTCGATAAGCCTTGTTTGAATGTCCCATGATTCGCTTTCTTTGAATGTTCCCCAATTAGCTTTGTTTGATTATCCTTCGATAAGCCTCTTGCCTGTCCCTCTATACACTTTGTGTGAATGTCCCTCGATAAGCTTTCATTGAATGTTCCACAACAAGCTTTGTTTGAATGTCTCAGTATACGCTTTGTTTGAATGTTCCTCGATAAGCTTTCTTTGAATGTTGTACTATAAGCTTTGTTTGAATGTCCTCAATAAGCCTTGTTTGAATGTTCCACGATAAGCTTTGTTTGAATGCCCCTCGATAAGCTTTGTTTGATTATCCTTCGATAAGCTTCTTGCCTGTGCCTCTATACATTTTGTTTGAATCTCCCTTGATAAGCTTTTTCTTTGAATGTTATACTCTAAGCTTTGTTTAGCTTGTCTCGGTAGCACAATTACGAATGAGTAGTGAGTTTGATCCTCACTGGGTGCCCTATACTTTCGACCTTGTGCCACATCTAAGATACGCTTGGAAAACCGCTACTATAAGCTTTGCTTGAATGTCTGTCCTTGTACTTTGCAATATCACACGCATATAATTTCAACATGGTTAGAAATAATCGTAAATGTAAATTGAATGAACACATAGCAATATATCCTGTTTCGTGGTAGTTGCATGTTTCTCACTGTCACTGATGATCGATGTTCGATCGCAGATAACTAGGATTTATGATGATGATTGTCAAGTCAAGAAATCTCTACACTCTTGGAGACAAAATTTTTTTTTCTAATTTTGTTCTGTCTGGCTTGAATAGAAAAATTAGTAAAAACCGTTCTTAGCTTTTCTATCGTTAAGATAAATGTATTCTTACCAGTTGTGCTTGGTGTTGAGATTAGGCAAAAATTCGGGTTTCCAATGGTGATTTTAAAGATGAAAGCAACTTAGAAGATTGCCAATATTATCTTCCTTATATCGTTACTCCATTTTTGGCCATGTACTCTAGTAAGATAAGCTTAAGAAATATCAGCATATTTCGGATTTGCAACTTGAATGAGACAACCAAATTTCCCACTGTCGGTAAAAAACCAAGATTTCAAATGATTTTTTAAAGTAACGAGATTCACACTTGAAATATTGTCGTTATGCTATCGTCCCAACTCTCATTTCCAGTTCTCAAGTCCTTTCACAAAGCTTAACTAAAAGTTGTAAAACATTCTTTAGTTCGCCTATGTTAGTCTTAGTTCGATTTTCAGTGGTTGGCACACGGCTATGTCCTTGCGCAAGGCTAAACTTTAAACTTCGGAATAAAGGCGCTTACCCTCATGTGTCAATTAACAAGGATATATTGATTAAATTCTCACTGATCCTCGCTAATGTACGTTGTGGCAGAGAAAGCTAAGATTTGCAAATAACTCTTCGTGTGCGTATCCCGATGATTAGCAGAGTTCTTGTATACGAATTCGCATGTTTTAGCAAATAAGTCTGTCAGTTTATCTCGGTTTATTATTTTGGAAACTGATCCTATGAGACGCTCTCAGGTCTATAAATAGTCTGCGATGAGTTTTTATCACTCTCTTCTTACCTTATCCGCTTATTCGTCAACACGTAACCTATCGCGGAGAACGCCTTCCCTTTTGGGAAACGCATGAACAATACACACATGTACGTACACACGTTTACTCCTTACTTTGGACCAAACAGTTTTAACATTCATTTGACACACACATCTTTGTTTTTGTCACTTGTAAGCCTTTATTATTAATATATCATTTGTTTGTACATATATATTGATTCTTGGCGTTTCTTTACAATTCTTTATGTGGACTCACATCCCGAGTCTGCCATGTTTGCTGTGGGTATTTCAGGAGATAGCGTGGTATTTCCGATTTCAAGCACTGACGTTACTGACGCCCGAAATAAGTTAAGAAACGCATAAACCGATCTGCAACAAGTCTTGCAATAGTAGAGGCATCTCGCAAATGTATTCGCAAGTATTAGAAAAATTTCGGCCCTTCAGTATCTGTCTATATTTCCGTTAGACTGTTCTAGTTACACCTCACATGTTTAATGGATTTCAGTTATCAGTTATCTCTTGTTGATTTCCCTCTGAAAGTTCTCCACTGCCTTAACCGGGTATTGAACTCACACTCTTTGGGTCCTGTCATTGGATCTAACCAACACCTTTATCCATTGTGCCATGTGCCCTTGAGGAACTTTCAGAGGAAAATTAGCAGGAGATAACTGACATCCATTAAATATGGCACGTGGAACTAGAACAATCTATCCCAGTGAGCGAAATAAAGGGTTCAGTTCAACATTCCAACCACCTGAAGAAGGCCGGAGCGTACAACGCCTGAAACGTTGTAATATATATGGCGACAAAGATGAGAACAATAGTCCGAATAATGTAAATAATTGAAAGACTTAGTTAAGAACTTTCAGAGATTAATTCGCAAGCAATATCAAAAATGTCTTGTAAATGAATTTGCAAGTATTAAAAAAGAAATCTAGTAAACGGATTCGCAAGTCTTAGGAAGGGTATTTCATAAATGGATTCGTAATTGTTCGAAGAGTCTTAAGAAAGAACTTTCTTAAACGAATTCACAAGTCTTAGCAAAGAAATTTCCTAAAAGTATTCCTATATCTTAGTCAACAAATCTCGTAAACGAATTCGCATGTCTTTGCAAAGAATTCTCGTAAGCGTATTTTGAGGTTTTACCAAAGAATTCTTGTAACCATGTTTTGGGATGGAAGACTCATAAACGGATTCTTAGAAAACGATTGTTATAAACCCGGTTTACAAACGTCAAACCTCGCCGAGTACTCAGTTCCATAGTTTTGTATCAGACAAATATCATAAATAAAAGGGAATTTATCTCTTCTTTCATCCCGTAGTGATTATCTCAAGGGAGCTGCTTAGAAATGTTTTCCTTTCTCATACATTGTAAGCATCGCCTCTGATGTCTCTTCTATGATCGAGAAAAGAAGAAAAAAGCATCCAAATCAATTCTTTATCTTTCCAATGGCATTCGCTCCGCCCAGCTTTACAAGAAAAAGTATCGCACGGCGACTGTGATCAATTTTGTTCATGGACCCCTGGTCATACCCCACCTCTCACCATTGGTGACATATTGCTTTAGTGTGGGCGATCGAGAGCTACGGTATCTGATGGTAGAATACTAGTACAAGGGATCTTGTTACTGATGGCATGGCACCCCTCGGTCACATTTTACCCACAGCACGTGTCCGGCCTTTTTAAAATATCGCATTGCTGACAAGAACAATCTATAAGAAACAGAATTCTCCCTGTATCGCGTACGCTATTTTAACGACCGACTGATGAGATTAGATTACATTGAAAGAGAGAAATGATTAAAAAAAAGACACTTCCTCTGAGAGGTCAGCAGCCGTTAAAATCAAGAATCCAAATAACATTGTACAAGTTACGATAACTGAGTTTCTGCCGTTTTTCGAGTGATGTTCTTTTGTTGTCAGGTAGATTTAAAAGCACGTGTTCATAGCCAAATATTTCAGACATCAGGCATTCCCCGAAATATTATGGATATCAGGAATTTTATTTAATTTTCGAGAACAGACATTGTTTAATAATTGTCTGGTGATCTCTCAATGACATCCTTTTGCTTGATGTAATCTCTCATTGACATATATTGTTTTAGTTTGATTTGATCATTTAATGATATATATTGTATTAGCTTAATGGGGTCTCTCAGTGATCCATATTGCTTTGTTTCGATGTGATCTTTCATTTACACATGTTGCTTGCCTTTTTCAATGACATATTGCTTTGGTTTGATGTAATCTTTCAATGACATATTGCTTTGACTTGATGTGATCTCTCAATGACACATTGTTTTGGCTTGATATAATTTTTCATTGACACATATAGCTTTGATTTGACGTGATGTCTCTATGACGCACATTACTTCGGCTTGATGTGATCTCCCAATGGCACATATTGGTTTGGATCGCTATGATATTTCAATTACACATGTTTCTTTGGCTTTGGGTTTGCTGTGGCCTTTCAATGGCACATATTACTTTGGCTTCATGTGGTCTTTCAATGACAAATATGGCTTTGGTTTGATGTAATCTCTCAATGACACACATTACTTTGACATAATGCGATTTCCCAATGACACATATTGCTATGGCTTTATGTGGTCTTTTAATGACACATATTGATTTGGCTTCATGTGATATCTCAATGACACGCATTAGATTGGCTTCACCTGCTAATCACTATTAAATAAATATTTGCCTTGATAGTCGAAAGTTCATCAAGGAATTTCCAAAGTGGATGACTAATTATATATATATATATATATATATATATATATATATATATATATATATATATATATGTAAACTAAAAAACAAAATACATAACTATCAATAAAAGGTTCAGGAATGTACTGGTTCACTGCAAAATCTACCCAAGTGCCAACTGCGGAAGCGACCATCGCCATGTTATATGTAAACTAAGAGTTAAACTAGGGAAACTGAAGTAGCCAAACGCAGCACCCAAATTGCAATAAAACAAACTTCTGAGCGACCCGTACTTGAAAGAAAAATATATGGACAATGTAAAAAGAAGATACGAGGGACAAAATAGAAATGGAAACTCGAAATGGGGCAGACTAAGAGAAGCTTTAGTGACATCAGCAAATGATATCATCCCAAAGGAGAATGGACGAAGAAGAATAAAAACGAATTGATCAAAGATGAGATTCTTGACATAATGCAAATGAGACAGAAAATTGCGCCAAGATATGGAACGGAATACAGAAAACTACACAACGAAATAAGAACCAAATGCAGGCTAAAGAAGAACGGCTAAACGAAATATGAGCAGAAATAGAGATTGAGTCCTGCAGACAAAGGAGATATGCAGAAACAAATAAGAGAACTAACAAAACAGAAGGCTTGCCCATCAACAGAATGCATAAAATCCAAGGACGGAATGCTCATATTAGAAGAGGAAAAATTCATTAACGCTGGAACGATTATATTGGAGAATTCTTCCATGATGAAAGAGAACAATCAGCAATATACAGAATTATCGACGGGCCTGAAATTCTAAAAACCGAAATAAAAGCTGCACTGGCCAAACTGGAGAGAAACAAGGCGGCAGGGCCAGACGGAATTGTAACAGAGACGCTGACAGCCTTAGATGA